AAGGTAACTGTGGCGACGACGTTATGCCGTCGGCACCTTGGCACCATCAGATCACTGTCTTATCAATTAACATAATTAGTTCACGTTAAGTCTTGTTGTCATTTTTCCCACATTACTGATGCTGCACCCCGCTAACCCGTTGCATTCATCGAGTGTGTATCAGATCATAGCCGTAGATCACGGTCTAGACAGCTCAAACAACCCCCTGCTGCAACCAACGGCGGCATACTTTCGCGAACGTCGTTCTCATGGAATGGTTTCCGCTAATCCGATAATCGGTGCCAATGCCGGCATTCTTCAGCTATGGCTTTCGACGTGCCGCCGCGTTTTCCAACCAAGAAATCCAACGTGGCTTTCTGCATCAAGAATATGTGCACTTCTATCACCGAGCTAAGAGCTCGTTTTAAAAAGTTCAGAGGCAAACCCTTCAGTCAAAATCGCTAAGCGTCGAACCATTCGAATGAAATTATTGGCATTTTTCCCCTCATGACATTACCGTTTTACAAATCTGACAATGAATTTTAAACTTAGTTTAAATATTTAGTTGGAAGACGTACAAACCTTCTGCAAGCAGACTTCTTGACCGTAAGCTTTCATGTTGTTTATGATTCTGTTAAAGAAGAAGGAAATTATAGCAGATGGCAGTCATTAATTTTCATCCAATCGACTTTTTATCTGCGAGAGCGCATGATTACTAGCGGGGTGTCATGAGACAGAGAGCACACTTCATCATTGGTACAGTATTCCGCACGGTGATTGGCGCAGTAAGCTGGCAATAATCGATACTTGCTCCCTGATTGGTGTGATTGGGCGGACACATATCATACCATTGAAGATCCAGTCGCCGTTATATGCCCGAGTTCAGATATTGAATCATTCGGTACAGTGAGTTTCAAAGCTCCATACTGCTCATAGATTCGAGGAAAATATCTTCTGGTCGCTGAATTTTAAATCAAGTGTAAGGAATCGGTGTTTCCACCATACTTGTATTATGATCAGTTGAACCGCATCATTCAGCATTGTCTCTCTTCTCCGATGCTCTTGAATACATGACCGCAGTCCCAAATCCCTTCGTGACTCGTCCTCCAAGTTGATCGAAATTCGTTCGATTTCAGATTTCCTTGTCAATTTCATCGAATATGCTTGAAACGAGGGGTGAAGGAGAGACAATGGGCATCACAGCGGTTCGACTGGTCAAAGCCTCAGTCTGTTGTTTTATTGAAGAAACCTTTGATGGATTTCAGGTAGCAAGAAAACTGGAAGATACTTTCATCAGAACAGTCGACAAGCAGCATGCCACACAAAGGTACGCTTTATCCAGTTTGTCATTTCTTAATCTATGTGAATTAAAGTAGAATTAGTTTCCTTCAGAAGATTACCAGAGAAAATCTTTGCTTCAATTGATGAAGGTAGTCAATGACAAAGCAGTCATGAGCTATGTTATTGAATTTGCCTCACACTTAAAGTGAAAATCTCATCTGTGGCTCCAAAGTTTGACTTCAACCATATGTTATAATCCTCGAAACAATTTTATCACCAATTAGCATGATTTGTTGTGAAACGCTTTTAGCCGCTATTATGTAAATTTTAATTCTGTGTGTCTAATCAGTAACGAGTTTGAAAGCAGGGCTTCAACCACGCACTGATAAGCAGTACCATATGGTTAATTGAATGACGTGTCATCCGATCCTTGATGTTTGATCGACGCGGATATCACCAATGCCCATTGTTGTGTCAGTGTTTAGTAGTTCCCAATATGTATATATACCCAATCTTCAGGAAACTGAGAAGAAAAAAAGACTCAGGTTCTGAAACAATTTGGTGCATCTTGCAAAAAAAATCACTTGCTTTACCTTGTGTTTATCTCTTCTTCTGTGGAAAGATGTTTAGTTGTCTGGTATGGTAAGTTTTTCTTAACTCAAGCTCAATTTCACTGAAATCGAGTCGTCTCTCTGTTAGACATTGATCCAGTGAGAGTCAAGCCATTGTCAAATCCCAGATTCTCACCTGTTTGTGAGATAGAATTCCATGCTATTTTAGACAACTCCATTACCCACATAAACGAACTGCCTGAGATTTTCTATTTGATCAAAGGAAGGTTGCGATATGGGATTTATGACGGTTTGGGTATTTCACAGCACAAAATATCATTGTTTGTTTTTGGCAGCAATTGCCTCAGGTAAATCATAGCTTCGACTATGATATCTGACATGTCCAGAAGCTGTTTCAGTAGAAAAATGTGTAATAAATTATTCAGGATAACATATTTATGTCGCAAAATTATAAATCAGAATTTACATAATCAGCTGAGAGAAATACTTTCTAAAATCTGGTACAGTTTGCATTTGATGCAGTTTGGCATTCATCGTAAAGTCTGACGGTTATTCATACGTTTTTATGATTTGAAACATTCTTAATATGGAACTTATCTCTAATATGCCAAGCATGCCAATTTACTGAAAGCTACACTTTTGACATGATAATCATTACTTGTGGTAATCGGTACTTATTCTCATCCCTTGTGGTAATCATTTGTCCATTTGAAAGGACAAGGGACCAGGTATCTGGCTGAGGTTCAAACTCGAGATATACAGACTGTGTCACTCACAGTGGTAAAAAGAATTGCCAGTTATATGGGAGAAGCAAAGATAAAATGGATCGCGATTTTCTTCGAATCCACGAACCAAGGAGTTGTAATCTGCCATTTTTTGATGTCATTCTTGCCAAGAAGACAGTTTTTTCATGTGCTTATTTGTCTATAATCGCCATTGGTTATTTTGTGATAACGCAGGATTTTAAACAATATCTGAAAGACGCTGAATGTTCATTCTAGACTGGTGTAATGGAGCTATGGGGTGGTCATCTCCACACTGACGCGCTCTGCATGTAGTTACTACCTGCAGCTATTGGAGCAATTTTTGAGGAAAAAATCCGTCATCTGATAATTTTAAACAGCTACAAGTCTTTAGCTCTTCTCTTCTGTTGTCCAGTCAAGGAAATATATTATTATAATGCCTTGATGCTTCAAGTGGAATGAATGAACTGCTTCTGGTAATTGCTGAATGTCAATCGTATAAAAAATACTACTACAGAAGTGCGTTTGTCAGTATATTTGGATTCTGGTGAAAGCAAATCATGAGCATCCTGATCAATTACTAAGCTTTATAAGCTACCCTGCTGCAAATAATAAGTTAGCATAATAGAACATCTCAAATGAACCGTTATTTTTCAAGATCCATCCAATAACTAAGATATTGTTCATTGGAATAAATCATACTTATTTATTATTCTCTGAGTTTTTTGATAATGTTCGTTCAAAACATTAGGTTAAATAGAAACGAACTGTATCCTTATTTTTGAAGAAACGGTTCGTTTCATTTAAAATTCGCATCGAGAATGTCTGTTGTAGAATTAGCAGTAACAGAGTCTAAAATTCTGTAGCGTCTGTAACGCGGGAAATGCGTCGACATTGAATTTGGATTCTGAAAGCACTGCAACGTCATTTTTGGTCGTGGTCGATCTCAGGCAGATTCACACAGTGAAGCACAAACAGAATGCCGCCAAAGGTTGCGCCAGTTTTCACATGGTTCGTGGTCAGTTGCCGATCGTGAATGTGCGGAGCGAATTGTATGAGATGAATGAAGGTGAGGGTGAGGCAAATTGCTCCCCTCTTCAAAGTCCCCTGATGACCGACCGCATTTGGGTAATTGAGGAATTTCGTGACCGAGACTGAATGCAACGGTCATACACCACTTAGTCGAAAAGCCACCGTCCGTCGAGCATCAGTACACGCGCAGCCAAGCCGTGACACATTTACTGGCCTCGACGACCAGCACGGCAGTATTGACAACTTCGAAAACGTTTCTGGTCGTCGCTGTAGTTGCTGTAGTCGTCGCGAATGAAAACTGGTCGACAACGAATCACAGTAGCCAACTCGTAGGATTTAGTCGTTTATTTCAACGTCCAATGACGATAAGATCTTGACAGCTCGTCTGGAATTCAGGCGATTAGCGACGAACGTCGCGTTGTGACCGTCAGATCGACGTACTGTAGGTCAGCGTTGCGGGAGCTTGGCCACCAGCAAATAGAAGGCCGATCTTCCCTCGGTCCAGCTGGCCACATTGGCAGATGGTGGACGGTGGCGACGCTTGTGACGGCCGTTCGGTTGCAATCCGCATTCAGAACCAACGATACCGAAAATATCGAATTTTTTCCACTAGAACTGTTGCGGTCGAAAAAACAATGGAGCTTAGGGCGGCATCCTTACCACAGATTCATCGAGGCGCACACAGCGGCAGCCACAAGCCTTCCTTTGGACAGATGCCCTAATGCCATTATGTCGGCCCGGTGCCTCGACAAAATGCCGCCGCCAACAGGAAACGCATTATTTTGGCCTAGCGAGCAGCAATATAGATGACGACAAGATAATTAGTGCAATCGATTGAGGTTACAGACCGGCAAAAGGCTTTAAGACCTAGCGCCGACCACGTATTCTTCATGTGCAAGAGTTCAATGGGCTTTGTCAGACAACTTTGTCGCCGCCGCCGCCGCCGTCAATAGAAATATCCTCAGCCAATTCGTTACATAACGGGGCAAGAATAGCCGACCGATCAGCCGACGCTGACCTCAGTTACTGCTGCTTGGTTGAACCTGTTATTTGGCAACTTTGTTTCAAAGCAGTGCGAGTGACGAGACAGGGTCCTACCGCTGCCGGACTCATGCCCCTTCATTACGCTAATCCTGACCTGCGGTCAAGCAGCACATTAAAGCGCGCCAAAGTCGCTCACGGTATTAAGTTATCTCTCCCCATGCACTGGTCATTAATCTCAATTTATAACTTGAATGTGCTTGTCGTTCTTTGTCGAGCACCAAGTGATTGATGAGCTCCAAATAAGGAAATTTATTATCGAAAGGTTATTGGTGCCATAAGGCTATGTATCACGCTTCTGGCTTCACCATACAAATGTGAATAAATCACTTGGAGGTGTTCAGATTAACAGATGGTGCAGCACATGCCGACAGATGAACTGACACCACTGAAATGGACTTTAGAACGAGCGAGCGATCACGCAGGTGTGACATCTCCGCGAAAGCGTACAAATAATTAGTGACCAGTCAAAGGTATAATTAATAGTGCCATGACGTGTAAAACGCGCTTCCGTCGTCGATAAATTATGGGTAGCATTTATAGGTCATACGGGTGTCAACCAGTTGGGTGGCGTTTTCGTCAACGGCCGTCCACTGCCTGACGCTACAAGGCAGAAGATAGTGGAACTTGCTCATCAGGGCGCCAGACCTTGCGACATCTCTCGCATCTTACAGGTGTCCAATGGCTGTGTCAGCAAAATTCTTTGCCGCTACTATGAAACGGGTTCAATTCGACCCAGGGCTATTGGCGGAAGCAAGCCCCGTGTTGCCACAAACAAGGTGGTAGACAAGATTGCACAGTATAAGCGCGAATGCCCATCTATCTTCGCCTGGGAAATTCGCGATCGGCTGCTGCAGGAGAACGCCTGTACTCAGGACAACATCCCCAGCGTAAGTATGCATGTTACAGTATGTGAGGGACACCACCTGGTCGGAAACAACAGCACAAACACAGGCACATATGCTAGAAGGTTCTTGTTGTTGAAGCCAATCGTTCACACCTGAGCGGTCTTCCAACGACGGCTTTCGTATGCGCACAAATTATACCGGCCGCGTTTCATACGAGGGCATACGGCGTAAGTAATACTTCTCCCGCGCTACAATCGTAATCGCATCTCGCTCAATGGCTGATAATAATACAGTAATCATTCCGCTGATTGTCCGAAGAGGCGGTGGATCGATTTCTTGGCCTATTCTTCGTTTGGCTACGTTTATTTAGTACACCGCTGCTTAGCAACACAGCCATTACTTATATTGATTCGTGTTTCAATTTGACATGCAACGTTCCAAATCAGTTCAAGGTACTTATGTCAATAGACTCATAGTCAATAACCGCCTCTCAAGTGACGTCGCTACAACTCGATGCTGTGCACCTCTCAGAGCTAGTGCATATCGAATACAGAAAGAGGCACATTTTAAAAATGGTTAGTCT